TAAGAGCAGCAAACCCAGGGTTTGAAGCCGGAACGGTGTTTTTTGGACAGTCATACGGCATACGATTCGGCCCGTACTAATACAAGCTGGGGCAGGGCTATACTACGGACATCCCTCTTTTTCAGCTGAAGTGAGTCTAGGGCCCAGGCACATACATCCACAAGTATCTTGAGGAGTGCAAATAGCTTGATAGTAATCCCAACGCAACCGAAGGCAAAGTCTTGTCTTGTTGCTCGAGCAAGCAAACTAATTATAAAGGCATGTTTGTGACCTGTTCTACAACGGTTTGACATGGCTAGGGGCAAATACAAAGCCAGGGTTCAGGTAGGTGCCCATGCTGAAACAAAGGGTGTGAGTTAACGCATTCCTGGTCATCTGAAATTGGGGCCATGCCACGTAACCATGATTTGTTCGGAGAGTGTGCTAGTTTCACTCATCCAACCCGTCTTGATGGTCCGTGCTTCCAAACGCGCGCTTGATGGTGGGCAGCATCTTCCCCTTCAAATCCGAAGCCAGTACAGTGGCCGAATCAGTGTTGGAACGGCACACGGGCGGACATGTTGGGCCTGTTGGATGGACCCTCTACGGACCCTCTACATCAGTTCAGCTGCACCCGCAGCTCGTCCCGGCTGCGACGAAGGCCTCTTTCACGTCGGTGAAGCCCGCTGCAGCATTCTGCGCGCTCGTCGCGATGAGGAAGTTGTACAAGGGGATCGCATGGATATCTCAGAGAGAACGGGCCAATCCCGAGCGAATCCCCGATGTTGGCCAATCAGACACGGTTGGGACGCATCTCGTTCAAGCTGAGCCTGGCATGATAATTCCCAGACACTCCATATTGACCCCCAAACCACCCCAATGTAGGCAAATACCTAGACCCTCCCGAGGCAATAATTTTTGCCGTAGGCTGTTGAGGCAATAATTATTGCCGTAACTCATTTTTTCTGCCGTAGCTCAATCCCTGGAAAGTGAAAACGCCGTCAGAGAAGTGAAAACGCCGTCACAAAAGAAGAATCGCCGTTTTGTTTGATCTACCAAAGAGGATATTGTTTTGGTCCGTCCATACCCTGAAGTTGCCTTCTCCTTTTTCACTTGTAAGTAGAGCTCATCGTTTTCAAACCTCATGGTAGCACTTCTCAAGATGTTGCAGCCCTTGTCTAAGGTCTCTATTGACATCACGGCAGGATTTGTTCACATTTTGATCACGCAATGGCTGAAAGGATCGCTTGTGACATGTTGTGACAAGTCTTGCTGCCACCTTGAGTGACCCTAGACAGGGTAAGGGAACGACGCCGTAAGTAGGGGGAAAACGCCGTAAGTACGGGGAAAAACGCCGCAAGTACGGGTAAGAACGCCGTAGCTTTAAACGCAAAATCTTCTGCAACGCCGCACAAGAGGTCGAGCTACCCGCGAAAACCGACGAAAACCCAGCATGTGACACTTCCGTCAGCTGCCCTTTCCACTTCACATGACTATGCGAGTTTGCTGATATAATAAGACGCCTTTTACGTTCAGTTGCCTTTCAAGCAAGACCCTACAATGTTTTCATAGTCGCCTGCACTAAAACTAAAACAACATGACTCTTTGAGGAACATGGATGTGTGGACCAAACTTGCCGTCAACTGACCGAAACTGCCGCAGTTCATCAAGAAACGCCGTCCCCATGAGATCAATATGGAAGAACGCCGCAGAACGGAAAAAGGCGACGTTTCATGAAAACGGCAATTATTATTGCCGTAACGAAGTTCCAGGTATGGCATACATGGAGTGTCTGGGATTTGGGTGCAATTCTGAAAATTGATGCAGGGCTTCTTTTACAAAGAGGCCTGGAATGTGCATCGGTCTGGATTGGGGATCTTGCAGTAGGAAGCGGCGTGACTTTCCTTGAGTCGGGAGTAGTAGTAGTAGTAGTAGTAGTAGACCAGCCATGTCTTGAGCTTGTTTGGAAGATAAGTTTCAGATACAAGTGGGGCACTGGTTTCGTAGCACAGGTTCGTCTACATTTACGTTATCGTTTGGTTATCGTTTAGGTTATCGTTTGACTACAGCTACATTTCGGACAAACCTGTCGCCAAAGTCCGAGGTCAAAAACGGCTTTGGGAAAGGCTACACTAAGCAGAAACGAGGTTCCCTGATGGTCTTCATGGTTAAAAAGCTGTACTGCAGCTATGCAAACTAAGTTTTCCTATAATTAAGGATGATGCTATCAATATGTTATCGTTTTTTGATGAGTGTATTATCGTTTTCCAAGTAAAATGCAAATTATGCAATCCCAATGTCGGGTCCTTTACTAAATAGCTTTCCGTAAATAAATCAGGTTGCTCATATCAACTTGATTGAATCCACTATAGGTTAGCAGGGGTCATGCAGAATTTCATGGACATGTGCAGCACAAAGTGTCATAGACACCGGCTTGGATGGATCTTGGCTTCAACCCATGGACCACTGTTGAAACTGGACGGTTCGGAAAAATGTCTCGAAGCACCTGGGTAGAACACAGCCACCGTTAACCATCCCCATAATAAAAATCATCTCAGTTGATGAACTTAGGCCTCCAGTCGTACCTTCGTTTCGATTGTGGGACTGGGGTGGGTGCCATGTTCGGGTCCAGTCATAGCGAACCTGAGGAGGTACGACTGGAGGTGTGGAATGCAACCTCCCTAGGCCAACGGTCCCAGCATCTCCGTGTTACTAGTAGCTTCTTGTTTCTAATTGTTAATTTTTTTGTTTTCTACTAGCTTCTTGTTACTAGTAGTAAGGCACTTGTTACTAGAAGCGATGCACTTGTTACTAGTAGCTTCTTTTCTCCTGTAGGATCCACGCAGTTTCCTCTGCCCTGCCACGCCCAAAGCGTGTCTCGTCTGCCAGCCAAGTGTCTCAACTCAATGCCGTCGTCGGCGAGCTGCGTGCCTATCGCCATGCCCAAGATCGTGGCACCGGCCTGGAAGAGAATGGGTATGGGAATTGTCTTGAAAAACACGCTTTGAATATATACAGTTTATACTCTATATATAATATAATATGTTATAGTTGTTTCTTTCAAGACCAAGGTAAACTCTTCCCCCGCGGCCTGGTAGATGTCATAGGACCAAATGGGCGGGCTCCAGCCAACCTGCAAACGACGGGCAACTCGGGGCATAACCCGCGCAGACCGCGCGACGTGACATCCTCCGAAGCGAGACGGACTGAAAAATCCCATGCCAGCGGAGCTTGGATCGGCCAACTGATCGGTCAGATGTGCTGGTTGCTGAACTGAAGTCGTGTGGAAAGCATGTGCATACATGTGCATAGTGATCGCAACATAATGGCAAATAGAACGGATTCATGATGAAATGGCCAGGCATGATGCATGATGAAACTCGCAAAAGGAGACGTTTGATGTCATGGGCCATGGGAACCATGTTCCTTTCCGTGCCAGGTTTGGGCTCGTCTTCATGTTCATCCATCCTCCATCTCAAGGCCCTAAGACACAGGTCTTGGACCCGACCCTAACCAAGGGTGAGTCCTGGAAGCTGAAACGGCCCACGCGGTCCACCGAATTTGAAGACACAACATCGAGAATCTCAACCGAACGTCCCCATGAATTATGCCGAAGATCCGCATCAGTTGGGTCCATCCTAGTACATATGTAACAGTGGAACTAACAGTGGATGATGATGGTTAGGTTCCAGGCCATGTTCAACAGTGAGATTTGCTTACTGACTGCTAGTCCCAGGTCAGTGAGTTCGGACAAACCTGCTCAGCATGAGCTCAGCTCACCCATCCACCGAACCCGCACGGAGTTTTTTCGCCAGGACCTGAGACCCCCTGAGACGCACCAGACCCCGGCGGCCCAGGGAACTGGCTCTGACCAAAGGCCATAGTGATCCACCGTGGGCGGAGCGAAGACCATGGTGGTAGCTGAGCTCCTCGGCGCTTCAGGAGCAGCAGCACGAGCGCGGGGCCGCAGCACTGGGGCGAAGTGAAGAAACAGAAGAACCCCCCAATAGAATGGGGCCCCATGGCCGGAGCTGGGTGCATCATCCAGTGCATCATCCGGATGTGGGACAGTGTCTGGAGGAGGTCTAGCAGTGCACTTTGACACTTTGATTCAAGGAAGTTGGAGATTCTCATCACTGAACCCTATACATCATCCTGCGTTTGGTCGTGTGGAGTGTAGAATGTATGCACCACCTGCCAGGCAACAAAAATAGCATTGATTTGGCATGATTTGGCAATGACTCAACAGATTCGGGGTATCACTCCCTCCCCACCTGACAAACCTAAGCATGAGCAGAATCATGCGGAATCTGCGATCACCTATGATTCACATATGATTCACATCTGATTCGCTCTTATGTATACCACTGGTCTCTATCCAAATGTTGTCATGATTGGCGCAGCGGCCCCGTTCGCCCCGTTCAGATGGCTGGAGCGCCACGCTGCGCCGTCCGCCGGTCCGCGTGCGGACGGGCGCCATGGGACGTTCGCCCCGTCATAGCGCGACTTGCGGGTCATAGCGCGACTTGCGGAGCTTCAGGTTCTAGGTTGATTGGAAAGTGAACCCTCTTCTTCTGGGCAGGATGCCAGTGATAAGGGTGGTGAAGGAGGAGGCAATGCCTATGCCTAGGCTGCCTAGGCTGCCAGCAATCTGCTGAACATGCATCCTCATTTTGGTGGACTAGCCCAGTTGAACTGGAAGCCATGCTTTCCCGCCGGAGCCCGTACCTGCAGCAACCCGCCACACCACTCACCTTCTCACTCTCCAGGACCTTCCAAGTCCGGTGGTTTTTGGATATCCCCTTTGCCTCTAAGAGGCTATTTAGGTCCACACCTCTTGGATGGTCCCGCTATGGATCTTTTTGAACCCTCAAGCGATGAAGGCCGAGGACTCAACAGCACTGCTCCTGCCAGTCACGAGTCACGCGTCACCTCCCTGCTGCGCGACTCGCGCTGCCTGCGCTGTTGATATAAACCGGGCCTAGCCGGCTGGTCACGACACCGCCCTCACCTCCGCTCTCTCAGAGAAGTGTCTTCTTTGGCTCCTTGGAGCTCAGCACCTGAGGCGCTCCAATACGCGGCCCGGCACTTTGGGCTTTGGAAGCTCTGCGGGCCCTCATGGTGTCTGTGCTAAATGCCTTTTTGTTTCCCATTCATGTCCAGTTTGGGCACCTATAAGCCTATAAGCATGCTCCTTGTTTTTCGAAAATAATCTGGTCCCCATATGTCCAACTGAGCCAAAAATTGTGCTTCACCAATGGGACACGAGAAGGAACACACCGGTGTCGTGTTCGAGGTGTGGTCATTATACCATCACCACAGATATGGCCCTTGCAAGATATATGTGGTGGCTTTATCCATGGCCCATGGCATAGTGCGATCATGGTGGAGATCTCACAGTCGGGGAGAGAGTCTGTCAGACACTAGGATTGCAACCGCCTATGATTTAATGGGTTTTTACTCAACAACCATGAACAACCATTGTATTACTGAGGGGGTCAGACTACAACACCAGGTCAACCTGTCTATGAATGGTGATTGAAGGCTACTGTCAAGGGTGGGTTGGGAACCTAAAGTGGTTCTTGGTGTTGATGGAAGGTGCTCTCTACCTCAGCATAGCTCAGCTGCCTCTTGGATGGGGTTTCTGGGAAAGCTGCCCAAGGACCCGAAGAAGTGCCACATCGGCTTGCTTCGTCTTTCCAAGCGGCCGTCCCGAAGTCCACTAGCACCGTTTCTGCGGTGTCATCGGTGACCACCATGTTCTGAGGCTTCAAATCATGATGCACCTGAACCAGAAAAGCACCGCAGCTGCGGGGTCTGCTTTGTAGAATCACCATGGCAGGGTTGGCAAGAGCAAACCAACCCCATTGTAGGTTCTGGTCGAAACGGAAGCGAGTTCAGAACCCCTCTGGTGTTCCCAACGATCTTGGTAAATCACACCTGCCTGGTTCTTCAAAGTGACCTTTTGATATCCCAGTTTGAGGTCACTTGGGCCTGTAAAAGGTCACAAACAGCCAGTGCAAAGGTCACGAACTGAAGAAGCTGGTGGAGTTCCAAACGGATTTTCACCCCCTGGAGTTTCCTGGATAGTGGGCACCGACCAAAACCCCTCGAAAAGGAACTCCCCGAAGAGTGATAGAAAGGGCCTAGCAACTGGCCTAGCAAGTTGCTACTCCCTTAGCCCTTAGCCAATCAAAAGGATATATACAGCTTGTTGCCTGCTATCGCGTTGTGGATCCAAAAAACATCAGAAGCACTAAAAGTCACTACAGGATCCAATGTGACCCAATCAATTACAATCACATGGATCGTCCTTTTCGTCTTTCCCGCATCGTTCGAGAAACCCTTTCTTCCCCAAATGGGGTGGACACATGCGGACACTATCTGCTAGGGGGCCACATAGATATTCATAGTCTTAAGATGTCTTAAGTATATGTCTTAAAGTACCAGGACCCTCCAAGTAGTAGTCAATGGACACCCCGGAATCACAGCCAAGAGGCTATAAATAGACACCCCTCGGACCGGAGAGTCCTGGTATAAACCAGGACATGTGGTTGACCTACCTCAAGCAGGGCCTCCTCGTCTCCTCGGGCGACCAGCGACAGATGCGTGTCTCTGGTCTCCACCGTCGATGGGACGATGGGACGGTCACTGACGACGCTGACGTCCCTGACGCCTCAAGCGGTCGCGTGGTCTCCGCCGGTCGCGATGGGACCAAGGCGCCCACTGAGTGTCGGTCTGGCTCTCTGCCAAGAAGCGCAAGCCCAGCAGCATGCCTTTGACGGAGCTCTTCCTGAAAACCGGGGGAATGGTCGGTTCCGGATGGTCGAAGGTCGGCTGCGGATTTGAAGAGGATCGGTTTGGGCCTGGGAGAATCAGAATCCGATATGAGATGTTGTTTGTCGCTTCATGTTGAGATGAGAGGCAAACTATGGATGAGAGGAGCAGCATTCTGAACATACTCCATCTTTCAGAGATCCCCCCATAAAGGGGGAGTTTTCCTGTCGACAGGACACACCATCAGCGCCTAAAGAAAAACAATCCTCTGGCTACTGCAGTGCACCCGAGGTGCCAAGCAAAGCACCACTCGAAATCACGAAACATGCCGACACCCACCACCTGAAGCCTATAGCGGTCATCAAGGTTGTCTTATTCTATCACGGCCAAGCGTCAAGGCTTTCAAGATGTCCGTGTTCGCCCCGGAGCCTTGTCCGTGCTTCACCTGCTTTGCCCACCATTTATCCACATCATCCGAACCCACGAAATTCATCACCTGCAGCAGGGCAGTGTCGGCCGACCAGTCAGGTCACATGGTGCGGAGCTGAGCCGGCTCCGCACGAGGGCGGGCGTTCGAATAGGAGGCGGGCCGAAGAGCCGAAGTGGGCACATCTGGCTGGTCAAACGTGCTGGGGCCACATCCAAAAACCTTCCAGCCCCCAAAAAAACGAGATCAGCATGGGGCTTGCCATTCCAACCACCAGCATGCGTTTATATGCGTTTGGTTTTCAGTGATCCAAGCCCACTACCCACAGAGGGGAGGCTGCTTCCTTCAACTTCCGAGTGGTTTCTCCACCATCCGCTGGGCTGCCAAGCGCCGGCCATTCGGCACCGAACCCACGATTCGTCCAAGCGACTGGGGCGGGTGTGTGGGTGTCGCTGTTGCGACAGAAGAATAAGTTTCCTGCATGGACAATAGTTGGTTGGATAAACCTAGACTGATACAACATGTTCATTACCTTCTGGCACTACAAGGATGCATGTCACCTCCCATCTTTCAGAGGACCTCATTTTTCACTGGTCTGAATCGAAAGGCCCTGAAAACCTTCTGTTCTCACAACCGCACGGCTACACTGGTGTGCAGACTGACTTGACAAACCTCCTGGGGGGTTCCACGGCCTATCATCCCGCTCGACCCAGCGCCCTTTGGGATGTCATATTCCCACCAGTGCAGGCCAGTGACCATGTACAAGGGAGCAAACGAATCCGAGAGTGATCGGAGTTGCGGCGAAATGCCATCATACAAACACTTCACGACGTGCCTCGGGAGGAGGACCGAATGGGTGGGCCTGGCCTCTTACCCACTCGGCCGAGATGGAAGCCGTTCTCTGTCGCTTGGTTTCGACATCGCCTCCGGAACATGTGGTTGCTTCTACTGTTGCTTCAGTCCAAAACAGGGGCTTCCACCCTGAAACCTGGCACTGCCGGACCATTTCTCGAGCTAACTTCGGTTGAGAACGCAGGGGGTCTGTTTTGAGTGGAATCTCCGGTGGGGATGAGAAAGGCCGGGATCAGCTGGGTGTGTGGTGTTGACTCTTGAGGAAGTTCATCTCCATACCGCACCCTAGGCCTCCAGTCGTACAAGTACCTTCTGAGAAGGTGGGACTGGGGTGGGTGCCAGGAGGGTCCAAATCCCTTCTGAGGAGGTACTTGGAGGCGTAGGGGCAAGGAACTTTTGTGAATTGAATCTGTGGTCTACATCAACAGACATATGCGTGATTACATATGGCATCATATGGCAAGTGGCCATGGCCGGCAGTTCTTTCACGCCAATGGGTCCTAACATGTCCAATACCATCGCTAGCATCGCAGAAAACGCCGAATGTACTAATTAAACACTAATTTGCTATCGTGTTTCAATGAGACTCCTCTCTTTGGCCATCAGTTGTCCGAAGTTCATGTCCCATGTCGCCTTTTTTGGGGGGCGCTTGGATCTCGCACCGGGTGTCACACCTCGCCGTGTGGCCCGCCGGCCACGTAGGACCAAGGAACTCTGCAGCCTCCTTGTCAGCGTCTTCTCCTCGATGGATGGCCTCGCGTCTTCGCCCGCCGGACCGAGTCCCACCGCACGAGACCGAGCTGAAACAAAGAGGCGCTTTCCACAAGGCCATAAGCCAATGACATATGGTTGTGTTGGGAACCCGCCTCCAACCAAGAGTTCAGGATAGCTCCTGGTTAATCACCAGAAGGGGAGGGATACCCAAAAATGATACTGCGACTCATCCCCAAACACTCCGTCTACATCAAGTGTGCCTACACTGGGCTAATTTCAAGGCACAATGTAAGTACTCTCCAAACAGCATCACGTACCTGTACAGGAATCTTTGGTCACGGTCCAGGAAGTTGTTGCAGCTGTGCTGGGACCACAAGAAATCCATAGAAACATCCTTTCATGGAGTCCGCCATGTGATCATCAGGAGCTGTGCGGCCTCAGGTGCCGTGCAGCCCCACACCGCTCAGCCTAGTTGGTTGTGACCAGTCGTGCCGATCACTGCCTTGGTCAAACCTTGAAGCCCTGCGGGTAAGCTCTTCCCAGTCCAAGGCACATTTTGCCAAACAAAAACAATACGTGATGGACACATGCAAGAAACATACATACACACACACACACAAACAAACAAACAAACAAACAAACAAACAAACAAACAAACAAACA